ATTCAACGAGTGACATATATTTAGTATGCACAGTTTTACAAGCTTTGACATCCATATATACTTGTAAAACCATTACCACAATCAAAATAATGAGCATATCCATCAACCCAAAAAGTTTCCTTTTATCCTTTTGTAATCCCTCCCTCCTGCCCCTTTCCCCCAGGCAGCCAGTGATCTACTCTTTGTCACTAAAGATTAGTTTGCAATTGCTACAGTTTTATATAAACGGAATCACACATTATATATTCTTTTTTTGTCTTGTGTTCTTTCACTGAGCATACTTCTTTTGAGATGCATCCATGTTGCTGCATGTATCAATACTTTGTTCCTTTTTATTGTCAAGCAGTATTCCACTGTACAGATAGACTGCAGTTTCTTCATCTGTCTACCTGATGGTCATTTGGGTTGTTTCCAGTTCTTGCTATTACAAATAAAATTGCTGTGGACATTTTTGTGTAGTCTTGGTGGAGTATACATTTTCATGTCTCCTGTGTAAATGCCTAGGGGTGGAATGGTTGGACTATATGGCAGGTGTATATATAACTTTTTAAAGAAACTGCCAGGCTCTTTTCTGGAGTGGTTTTTCCAGCTTTTACAATGTTTAGCCAGTATGATAGGTTTATATCTCATTGTGGTTTTAATTTACATTTCCCTATTGACTAATGACATTAAGCACTTTTTCACAGGTTATTTGCCATCTGTATATCTTTATTAAAATAAAGAGTGTTGAAATTGCCCATTTTCTAACTATTTCTTATTACTGTGTTTTGAGAGTTCTTCATATATTCTGGATTCAAGCCCTTTATCAGATATATGATTTTCCAGTATTTTCTTCCAATCTGTAGCCTTGTTTTCTTTCTCTTGACAGTGTCTTTTGAAAAGCAGAAGTTTTTAATTTTGATTAAATCCACTTTATCAATTTTTTTTTCTTTTATTGATCTTGCTTTTGGTCTCAAATGTAAGAAATCTTTGCTCAGTTTAGTACCACAAAGGTTTTCTCCTATAAGTTTAATGATTTGGGCTTTTGTGTTTAGGTCTGTGATCCATTTGAGTTGATTTTTGTATACAGTGTGAGGTGTGGATCAAAGTTCCCTTTTTTTTCATTTTGGTATATGTATATCCAGTTATTCCAGCGCATGAAATACCATTGTTAAAATGTGCAGGCCTATTTCTGTACTTTATATTTTGTTCCATTGGTCTGTTTATATTACACTAATAATATTACACTATCTTGATTATTCTTAAGTCACTGTTAATCTATATGTTCTCTCTTTCCCTTGTAAATTATTTGTCTAAGAAACTGGGTCATATGTCCACAAAATGTTTCCCAGAGTCAGAATTTTACTCAGTGCCTCCCTGCAGGCAATGGTATGCTGGTAAATACTCAACATCTGGCTCTCTAGAATGAAAAAGCCTGGATCTGTTGGCACTTGCTGGCTTTTGTGGTGTAAATATTTCCACCATGGCTGATTTAAAACTACCACTGTGTCATACTGAACACAGAGTTGGGAAGAGATAAACGATAGTACACTATTATGTAACATTTTCACTATGCACATACATTAGGTATAATAAACCCCAAGAGCATGGATAAAGGTACAATATAGTGGAATAGAGAATAATGAATTGTGATTATTACCTTTAGTATAGCTAATTATAATGTATATAATATAATTTTAATAATAATCTAATAATAATTTAATAATAATAATTAAATAATAATTTGATTTAATAATAATAATAACTGGCTGTGAGCCAGTTCGAACTGGTGCAAGTTAATTCCAATGTGACACTTTTGTAGAGTAGTTGAACATGTTCTCTGTCCGCTGTTTGGGGCACCTGGGTGGCTCAGTTGGTTAAGCGTCCAACTCTTGATTTTGGCTCAGGTCATGATCTCACGGTTTGTGGGATTGAGCCCCACATTGGGCTCTACACTGACATTACATAGCCTGCTTGGGTTTCTCTCTCCCCATCTCCCTCTGCCCCTCCCCTGCTCACACTTACTCACTTTCTCTCTCAAAATAAATTTAAAAATAAAGAAAAAACAACTTAAAAAAAGAGTTGGATGCTTAACGGACTAAGCCACCCAGGCACCCCACTAGCTTGATATTTTAAAGTCCCTTTACAAATATGCCTGTTTTGAATGGTCTGTGATTAAGTTTCTCTCCTGATTTCACTAATAGTTTTCATATCATTAACCTATAATGTAGGACAAGTTACATTAGCCCTTCTGTGAAGGTATTAGATTTGATTCCCTTCCTACTCACCACCTAATTATTTTTTCTTGTAAACTTTATTGAGCTATAATTCCCATACTGCAAAATTCAGCCATTTAAACTGTACAATTCAGTGGTTTGGGGTATGTTACAATAACACATATAACACAAAAATCACCATTTTAAGCATTTTCAAGTGTGCGGTTTAGTGGCATTAATTACATTCACATTGTGTGCAACCATTACCACCATCCATGTCCAGAACATTTCATCATCACAAACAGAAACTCCACATCCATGAAATAGTAAATCCCAACTTCTCCCTCCCCTTAACCCCTGGTAACCTCTATTTTTATCTCTATGAATTTGCCTATTCTAGATACCTCATATAAATGGAATATAATATTTGTCCTTTTGTGTCTGGCTTATTTCTTTCTTTTTGTATATTATCTTTTCATTTCTTTCTTTCGTGTGTATTATCTCTTTTTTTGGTGTTAAATACAACATAAAACTTACAAATTTAATCATTTTAAGTGTACAATTGACAGTGCATTTACAGTGTTATGTAACCATTGCCATTATCTAGTTCCAGAACATTTCCATCACCCCATTCCCATTAAGCAGTCATTCCCTGGCCTCCCTGCCCCCAGTCTCTGGCCACCACTAATCTGCTCTTTGTCTCCATGAATTTGCCTTTTCTGGGTATTTCATATAAATGGAATCGTACGTAAACTTTTTGTGCCTGGTTTATTTCACTTAGCATAATGTTTTCAAGGTTTATTCATATTGTAACACGTATCAATACTTCATTTCGTCTTATAGCCAAATAGTATTCCACAGTATTAAAGATAGCATATTTTATCTACTCATCAGTTGATGGCCAGTCAAGCTGTTTCCACTCTTTGGCTATTGTGAATAATGCTGCTATACACAGCATTATTAGGGGCACCTGGGTAGCTCAGTCGGTTAGGCATCCAACTTTGGCTCAGATCATGATCTCATAGTTTATGAGTTCGAGACCCACATTGGGCTCACTGCTGTCAGCACAGAGCCTGCTTCAGATCCTCTGTCCCCCTCTCTCTCTCTTCCCCTCCCCCATTGGTTCTCTCTCTCTCAAAATAAATAAACTTAAAAAATAAATGAACAGTGTTATTTATGGCAGTGCCATGGTGTTTTCACACGGACGTATGCTGTTGTTTCTCCTGGATGTGTAACTTAGAGTGGTACTGTCAAGTCAAATGGCAACTCTGTGTTTACATTTTTGAGAATTTGCCAGACTGTTTTTCCAGAGTGGCCACACCATTTCTCACATCCCACCTCCCCCCCACCCCGCCCCAGCAATGTATGAAGTTCCAATTTCTCCACATCCTCGCCAGCACTTGTTAAATGTCTTTGTTATTTTAATCATCCTACTGAGTGTGGAGTGGGTATAGGTCATTGTGGTTTTCATTTCCATTTCCCTGATGGTTAATGATATTGAACGTCTTATTGGCTATTTGTATATCTTGTTTGGAAAAATGTCTATTCAGAGCATTGCCTGTTTTTCAGTTGGGTTATTTCTTTTCATTAAGTTGTAAGTTGTAATCCTTTTTGTATCCAAGGTAAGTCCCTTATCAGATATATGATTTGCAAATGTTTTCTCCCATTCTGTGGATTGGCTTTTCACTTTCTTGATGGTGTCTTTTGAAGCACAAAAGTTGTCAGAAGTTTGGGGGTGATGTCCAGTTTATCTGCTTTTTCTTTTAAGTTTATTTATTTTGAGGGAGAGCGTGCTGGCACAGTGGGGAGAGGCAGAGAGGAGAGGCAGAATCTTAAGCAGACTCCACAGTATCCGTGCAGAGCCCCATGCAGGGCTCAAACTCATGAACTGTGAGATCATGACCTGAGCCAAGATTAAGAGTCAGATGCTTAACCGACTGTGCCACCCAAGCACCCCTTTTCCTTTGTTGCTTACACTTTTAGTATTGCATGTAAGAAACCACTGCCTAATCTAAGGTCATGAAAGTTTATGCCTGTGTCGTCTTCTAAGCGGTTTATATTTCTAACTCTTATATTCATGGTGTGAGGTGGGGGTCCAACTTCCTTTTTTTGCACGTGGATACCCTGTTTTCCCAGCACCATTTGCTGAAAAGACCATTCTTTCTCCTTTGAATTGTCTTTGGCACCTGCTTGAAAAAAAATCAATTGATTTTAAATGTGAGGATTTTTTTCTGGGCTCTGAAATTTATTCTATTGATCTATTCTTGAAGTCTCATGAATTTAAAGAGGATATTTACAAAAGTATGTATTTGTAACCCATTGTTTTATAACTCTGTTCATGGTTGCCTATGGTTGTTTTGTTCCAATAGTTTCTCCCTTTTCTTCTGCAATTTTATCTCATTTTGTATGTAATGCCATCTGGGAAGGGAATGCCTGGTGGTCAAGTGTAATGCTAATGGGATGGTGCAGTTCCTATTTTTCAAAAACTGCTTTGAAAACAAGTGGGGCAGCTGGCTGACTCAGTTGGTGGACTGTGTGACTCCTGATTTGGGGCTTGTGAGTTCAAGCCCCACATTGGGCATAGAGATTACTTAAAAAAATAAAAAAGAAAACAGACAGGAAGTATCTTCAGTTGGTAGTGACAGCATAAAATGATTAAAATATGGAAGCTTATAGTTCCGAGATTTTCTTACCTTATGTAAATATGAGATGCAGAACCATGAAAGTATGCTAATTAATAGTAATAACTTTTTCTTTGAGAAAGTAGACATTTTAGATCCATCAAAAACTTCTGATTTTTCATAGAGTTCCTGAGTTGGAGTTAGAAGAGGAAACTCAAGTTCAAGAGATGACCCTTGATGAGTGGAAAAATCTTCAAGAACAGACAAGACCAAAGCCTGAGTTTAACATCCGGAAACCTGAGTCCACTGTCCCTTCCAAAGCAGTGGTGATACACAAGTCCAAATATAGAGATGATGTAAGTATGACATTTTCTTGTCTAGAGGTAATCTTCATTCTTACCTTACTGGAAACCAGATGGACCCTTTCCACTTCTAGTGTGAAAATGGGACATTGGTAGTGGCATTTTAGTTTCTACCTAAGACTAATCAGATATGATGTGTGCCTAATTTTATCTGTACCTGTATTGTTCATAAAAAGAGTTGAAACTTGGCCTGTCGACACTTCATACAAAGCAGTTTCAGTGACAGTGCATTTTCCGCTCAACCCACAGCTGTGCTTTGACTGTGCAAATACTGTATGTTAATTGCATCTCGTTTTTGTCTCAAGAGAGGTACAGTGTCTCATGAATAGTGCCATTTCAAAGGATAACTACTCCGCATTTCATGATTAGGTTAGATTTTCAGCTCACGTTCTTAATAAGAGCATTTTATTGGGAGGAGTTGATCATTTGCAACCTGTCAGAGTTCTGTGCTGTGTTACGGCAGCAGTTCTGTCCCCGCCGTGTAACTGTGCCACCCGGGAGGAGCCCCTGGGACTGTGCGGCTGCCTGGCCACACCCTGCTGCCGCAGCCAGGATTGCTCACATTGTTCCTCCCTCCCGTGAGGGCCTTGCTTTTCATGCTTTGTGTTCAGCCCTTTTTTGGAGGCCTCGGCTTTGAAAAGGACTCCCAGCATATATTGATGCAGATGGTCAGTGAGTCATGTAATCGCATTCTGTTTAAGTTACTGAACTTAAGGGTGCCTTGAATATTCTCGTTTTAAACTTTAGAATTCACATCAATCAGTCACAGCTGCTTATCTTAATACACATTTCTGTGTTGATGATGGTGGTGGACAGATATTCCCACTAGATATTATACACTGATTTTCCGTTTGAAACTGTGTAGCTTTGTGTGTGTTTCCATTGACACTTCGGTTAGTTGTGTTCTTTGAATGAATACTTTCATCAGAGGGTCATTTATAATACAGGATGCCTTACCACCTCCAGTCTCTTCCAGGCCTTACTAAGAAGTTTGGAGCCACTCCACTAGCTGTTATACACAGGCAGCATGGAGGGGAGAGCCTTCTCTTGGAAGTCTCTGTGAGGTATTTCTTCACGTCCATCAGCTAACTGGGTTGGCTCTTTTCCTATTCACTTTTGTTCTTTTTTGTTCTGGGCCATTGTAAATAAAGCTTTTCCTAAAACAAATGTGCTGTCAGGATGTGAAATGTGCAGCTGACATGTTAGGTAAAAATAGCAGCTGTTTTTCCTGCATCCACACCAGATTCATCCTCCCTGGCTCCAGACAGAGGTCTCCTGGAATATCTGAAGCAACTGGGTTAGCTGAGTCATCCAGCTTGGTCTCCACGAAGCACATGTCTTTGGTCTCTTGTTAATGTTACGGCATTGAAGATTTTAGCCAGAAATTGTTCTGAGAACAACAAAAGCCAAATCTTAGGGTCACTGATTTACTTTGTTCTGGGCACCCTAAAAGACAAAGCAATAGAGTAAAATGCCTTGTGTTTGCAAAGTTCAGACCACCAGCAGCCTGTGAAATGAGCTGATCCCTTTCAAGAAAGCACACTCTAGGGCGCCTGGGTGGCGCAGTCGGTTAAGCGTCCGACTTCAGCCAGGTTACGATCTCGCGGTCCTGAGTTCGAGCCCCGCGTCGGGCTCTGGGCTGATGGCTCAGAGCCTGGAGCCTGTTTCCGATTCTGTGTCTCCCTCTCTCTCTGCCCCTCCCCCGTTCATGCTCTGTCTCTCTCTGTCCCAAAAATAAATAAACGTTGAAAAAAAAAATTAAAAAAAAAAAAAAGAAAGCACACTCAGTATTGTCCCAGGCACCGCTGCCCTTCCTCTGGCACGGCCTCCCCCTACTCCAGCAGGGCCTCCCCCTACTTCTGCAGGGCCTCCCCTGACTCCTGCATGGCCACCCCCACTCCAGCACAGCCTCCCCCTGCTCCACGACCATCCCCACTCCTGCACAGCCACCCTTGTTCTGGCACAGCCTCCCCCTACTCCTTCACGGCCTCCCCCTACTCCGTCACGGCCTCCCCCACTCCAGCACACAGAGCCCGCTGTTTTCTGAAGCAGGTGGTAGGCTATTACTTCGCCTCTTACTGGTTTTTTGTGTCTGTCTTTTTACCAGAGTGTCAATGCTCCTGAATTGTTCTTTCCTTCACCTTTTTAGTTTCAACAGTACATCCAGCTAAGGCCTCTGCTTTATTTTAATGCAGCTTTGAAGGGAACATAAATGTTAAACACAGAACCTGTAATGAACAGATGGCCTAAAGGGGTTGATAAGTTCAGGGAGACTTGATTCCATTTTCTGGACAAGTTGTAGTAGGAGTGTTTAGCATTATAGAGTTTGGAGATTCTCATCCCAGATCATTGGCATATTTTGTATAGATTTATGTTTTACTCAAAAGTGAGGGTTTTTTTTTTTATCCATTATTAGGAATTGAAGCCAAATCAAATTTGGAACAAAGTTTATTTAATAGAGTTTTCTTTTAACAAGAAACAGAACTTATTTGACCTCATATATAATAAAATGTAATTTCTCAAAGTATTTTGGCCAAAAATAGTTCTTAAAAAGCAGCTTGAATTCTTTCTGCAGCAATCATCAGATAACCATACTCTGTTGTTTTACTGTTTTCCTAGATTTTGAGTCAGAATTGTTTATTGTAAATCATGCAGTTTTTAACATATGGTATTTGTACAGCCAGCACCCACAATGAAAGGAGTTTTTCCATCAAGTTCTATTCTAAGGAGGTGATATTTCCTTATTTATCAAAGTAGCATTTGTGAACAAAGGCAGAAATTAAATTTTTTTAATCTCAGCAAAATACATTTAGATATAAAAGATATATGTTGATTGCTGGTAGGCATGTCAAATCTTACATCTTAACCTGCCAAACTGCTAAAAACTCGGGTGTCACTTGAGTTAATAGTAATTTGAGAGATGTTTGGATTAAGACGGTGAGTATGAGAACATGTGGCTGGGAAATGTGCAGAACCCCTGTGCTGGAACCAGAGCAGCGGGGTCACCACCTTTGCCTTGCCCTGCAGCCCAGTGCCAACAGCACATCAGGGAGGGCCACTGTCCACTGTGATGCCATATTGGCTCCCTGGCGGCATAGCGCTTCGACGCTGAGCGAGTGTCCATGGAGATGGGTGTGTGTGTGTGTGTGTGTGTGTGTGTGTGTGTGTGTGATATATGCTGTAACTGTTTCAGATGGTAAAGGATGACTATGAAGATGATGCCCACGTTTTCCGGAAAGCAGCCAATGACATCACATCCCAGCTGGAGATTAATTTCGGTAACCTCCCTCGTCCTGGGCGTGGAGCCAGAGGTGGCACACGGGGAGGCCGGGGAAGGATCAGAAGGGTGGAGAACTACGGACCCAGAGCAGAAGTGGTGGTGAGTGTGTGTACTCTGTGACCTGGACGGTTTTCTAAAGGAGGTGAGAGGATGAAGGGGCCCCAGGCAGTGCCACTGGGAGGCCTGTCAGGGTCTGCTGTCCATTCCTGTATCTAGTGTGGGTCTGGCATCCAGGTGTTCAGAACAGTGAGGTCAGCAGCATGGACACAGTTGGATACAGACCATTCAGTGGCCGTGACCTCCATGGTCACCGGGCACATCCACTGCTGTAAATGCACTCTCAGAACCAGAGAAAACTCACTCATCTGCATCAGACAATTCCCCAGGCTTGGGATCCTATCAGATCACCTGACAGTTCCCAACTGTGATCCAATCATATGCCCTGTGCCCTTATGGTACTTTCAGGGTAGACAGAACCCTTCCCTTCAGGGCCTCCTTGTGACCTCCCCAAGCTCACCTTGTCACCTCAAACCATTCTTCCCTGCTCCTCAGCCAACACTGCTCTACCTGTAGTTCTTCACACAAGCATGTTCCTGACCCCACGGAGCATTTGCACCTGGTGGTCCTTCTGCCCATTTGCCTGCTCACCTAGAATAGATCTTCTGACCTTGCTTCCTCAGAGAAATCTTCTTTGGTCACATTTCCTTCCAGACCAGGTCAGAGTCCTTGAGCAAAGAATTTTTTCTTTGAAGCATTGTCTTCATTTGTAACTGTATTCTCACTGGTGTGATTGTTGATCAGTGTCTGTTGTCTGTACAGTGGATGGACACAAACCATGTCTGCTTTTGCTCATTATTGGTTTCCCCAGTGCCCAGCACAATTTAAGTGTATAGTAGGCACTTTGTAAATGTTTTGTAGACAAATATATGCATACTGTTCTCTTCTAGCTCAGACCTGCCCTCAGGCCCCCACCTCTTCACCGTCAGGTTACACTGTTTGAGGATCCATATTCCCTTTGCTCATTCACTGAGGCTTATCTCTGGAAGAACCTTTTCTTCTAGAAAACCTTACCTAATGGTGATGTGCGCTCCACCTCCAAATAGCAGTGGGTGCCCCTCCTGTGGGCCATTCATAGGCCATCTGTTGCTGAAGTTACCAGGCTGTGACTTCCTCGGGGCATCTCCCCTGACCCCAGGGAACCCCAGGTCAGGCAGGAACTGCTTCTAATCAACCTTGTATCTCCATATAGTAAATATTCTAAATCATGTTTATTGGATGGTGGAGGTGCCAGATACAAAAAGGGTCACTCGGTAAGGGTTTGTGGGAGGGAGGGAGGCAGGAACTGGTGGCCATTTTGCAGAGGGGACAAGAGCGAGTCTGAGAAGGGACCCTTCCACACCCCCTCTCTCTGGGAGCCTGCCTCTCCCTACAGTGTTTGGGCCACACCCACTGTCAGCACCTGCCTGGTTGAGAGCAGGCATGTGTCTCTCAGAGGGCTCTGCCCAAGTGGCAATGGGTAAAGTGAATGTTGGTTTAAAAACTTTTCTTTTCTTCTTTAGACACAAGACGTTGCTCCCAACCCGGATGACCCTGAGGACTTTCCTGCTCTGGCCTGAGAGAGCCCTATTTCCCTAGCAAGCTACAACAGCATTGGCATACCTATGAAGAGACTTTTCTTGGTGTGGGGAAGAGAGTCAGACTCTAAGAACAATAGATGTTGCTTTTTCCCGTTTAGTGTGAATTCATTGCACTTTTTTGGCCTGGGGGCTGTGGGATAGGGATTTCTCTAGACACAAGGCAGCAGTTCCAGTTGTGGGGCGGGGGGGGGGGGGGGTTAGTCTGGCACTTTCCCAAGAAGGTGGAGAATGGTGATTATTTTTTTATTTAAATAATTCCAAATGAAGTTCAGAAATAATGTTTAAAATGTGTACATAGAGATTGTATTGAATCCTCCACAAAAACCTGGAGAGTAAAGATGTAAAATAGAATCTACAGAGACTACTTCATAAGGTGTATAGATTGGGAAGGCTGTGTGCTTTAGCATTAGAGCAAATACATGTAACACCGACCATTAATTGAAAGCAGTCACAGCCTAGTTTCCAGAGACTGACGAAGTAAAATACACCTGTACTTACTGTTTACTTGTAAGTGTTACAGTCTCCTGGAAGTTTTTGAGTTTTGGTTTTCATTTAACCGATAATTTTAAATAGCTGGTGGGCAGCCATTGGCTACCACTCTGTGACAGAGAATTAGGAAAAGTATTGTTTTTGGGTTTTTTTTAATGGTGATTTAAACTACCTCGTGGTTTCTGTGTGTATGTACACACGCATACACGCACGCTTAGTATAAATGTGCATATTTAGTGTTTGGGTGGTTTTCAGGATGAGTATTAAGCATATGATTTTTAAAATCGTTATTTAACCCATTGATCAAGAGAAAGGGGGTCCAGGCAAAATAGTGTTACACCTTACCATCATATCCTTTTCTCCCCTAGAAACTAATATCCGAAATCAGTGCCCATGTACAGATGCCCTGTCCTTGCCTGGCAAGACTTGTAAATAGTATTTATTGAACACCGTGTGCAGTTTTTCTCACCCAGCCCATACACCAGTTCAAGTTCCTATTTCTTGCCTTTGGTGAACGTTTGGGGTTGGGGGCTACCTCAGAGTTTCAGTAACTCACCGAGTCCTGCCATGCCCAGCAGAGTGAGTCCTGCCAGAGCCTGAATTTGGCCGAGCACCCGGGGCAGGGACTGGGGCGGAGGCAGCTGTAAGCTGCGGGCAGCTGGGGGTGATGCTCTCTCCAATTGACTGCAGAAACTGAAAATAACCTTTGCCTGTTGTCACAGTTAATATGCTTCTGTTGGAATCTGAACTTGGTCCCAGGATCTGTGCTTTCCCCCGCTTTGCTATACTGTTTAAGATGGCTCTGAACTTGAACCCAAGTGTAAATAAAGGTTGGTATTCCCTCCTAACTGTGTACAGAAAGCTGAATCCTTTTGGTCACTCCCAGGTCAAGAGAAAAGAATGTGGAAAAAAGCCCAGTAGAAGGAATCGGCTGACCTCCCTGCCATATGACAGTTAAGGACATTTGCTGTGGGTGACTGTCCACCCTTGGTCTCTTATTACTAAATTAGTATCTGAATACTAAGATATATTAACTGTTTTATTTCCTCTCCCTGGAAAGGACACAGTGAGTGGGAGTGACCTGATGTAAGTCAAGTCTCAGGAGAGTGAATGTCACATTCAGCCATAATGATCAACTGGTACAGCATGAGGGTGTGTCTTTCCTCAGCAGGCTTGATGCTGTGACATGAAGTTACTCTGCCCACCTTGGCTCTGAAGATCGGCAAAACAGAGATCCCTTTCAAGAAAATTCCCTGATGTTGTAAATAGTGGCTGAAAAGCCTATAGCACTGGAATTAATACTGTATTTGCAAATACCGCATCCTTCTTAGATGTACTGAAGATTCCTGTGCCATGGAACAGTCTTGGGTCCTGTGGTTGGAAACCGTTCTGGGGGATGGGGTACAGTTTCTGAGCCTGTTGAAGGCTTTGTTTGCTCACCAGGACTATGTCTTGCCAATTGGTGGGGTAGATAGATAATTGGGTTTGGTCCTGTGGTTGTCCACAGTGCCCCAGAGAAGACCAAGCAGAAGCAGAGAGCAGGGGAAATCCCTAACATGCCATAGGGAAAATCAAAGCAGGCAGGAGGCTTATGTTCGGATTTATACACAAGGCAAGGCCTTCCTGATCCAAGTTCCTCTTTTGAGGTGGGTGTAGTCCTGTTTCTAACAAGTAACAGTGAACAAATTGATCCCACAAAAGAAAACTAGTGTGTCAGTCCCCAAGACTCTTGGAAAGCAGACGTCAAACATGTTTGAATGCCAAGGTCAATGTGCCGGCCCCACTCTGGGGGGACAGCAGCTGAAGATGGCGGGTGGGGGAGGGAGTAGTCCCAGGGCCTGGAGGTTGGGGGAGCCTCACAGAGAGGTGTCGCCCCTGAAGGAAGCAGGGGTTGGCACCAGTCTTGACTGGATGAAAACCTAAGCTGGGAAGAGGCAGACTCCCTACAGAGGCTACCCCCAGGGAAGCGCCTCAGGAAGGTTAAAATCATGCATTGGATGTTTTTAACATCTGGCCAGGCTACTTGAGAAGCTGTACATCTTTAGCCTAATGTTGCTGATAAGCATTTGATGTCTTCACTCCCATGCAAGGCAAGGCCCTCAGAGCCCAAGAGGCTGCAAGGGGGACCCGCACTTCTAGTGCTGGTCACTAGTTCAGGGCTTTTCCTCTCGGTTGGCTAGGTCCTCCGGGCCACCCCAGTGCAGGCACTATTTTCTTTTGAGACAGTACCATGTGGTGCTGGTTAAGTCCTATGGAGCTACTGGACCTGGGTCTCAAGCTGGGAAAGGTCAGCTATTCTTCTGAGCTATTCAGGAGCCACGCTGCTGACAGCAGGTGGGGCTTTCCTCCCCTCCGCATGGCATCATGCAGCCAGATGAGCATAGTTTCACTGTGAGAGAAGACCTGCCCATTTCCTTTCACTGCTGCTGTGTCTCAGCCTCCACAAGGGTCACGGTTTGTGCAAACAGCCACTCGGGATCTGCCCTCCTCTCCAGATCCTCCGACACTGGCCTGAAGTCAGTGCCCTCGACATGCCCCACGCGTCTGAGGCTTTGCCTAGCTTTGTCCCAAAGGGGTCTGTATTTATGTGGTGAAGAAAATGAGGAAGGGAAAAAGGTATTTTAAAAACATCTTTATTGTAGGGGCACCCAACTGGCTCAGTCGGTAAAGCATGCGAATCTTGATCTCGGGGTTGTGAATTCGATGACCATGTTCAGTGTAGGATTACTTAAAAATAAAGTCTTAGAAAAAATATATATCGTAAAACAATATGGATACAAATGCAAATTTCCTTGTAACACCACCTAAGAAACTGATTTTCCCAGAAGCCTGTCCAGTGCCCATGTCAACCACAGCCTCCCCCTCCCCTGAAAGGAACCACTGTCCTTAGTCCCAAG